GCAAGGAAATTAAAAAGGTAGACATGGTTATCAAAGTTGCATTGGTCAGATATTTTGATTTTACTTATTTTTTTCAGCTGTGATCATGGAGGGATGCACCATTAGCTCTCCCCCTCCATTGTCAATGAATACCAAAGCCAAGTTGCTTACATTTTCAGATTCAAACCAAACCAGTACAGGAAAGGCATTTTTAATGATATATTGGAATGTTTTGCCTAATGCTTGGCTTGTCAGGCAAGCAATTGAACTAACCAACCTGGCTCAGCTGACTGTCCTCTCTGAACTGATTGCATGTATTGTGTGTGCTTGATCAGACCTGAGGAAGTGACCCCACCATTTCTTTTCTCCAGCAGAAAAGCTGGTTGGATCCATTCCCAATACTCTGATCTATACCACACTGCTGTTGTATCTGAGATCTAGTCAAACTCCCAGTTACTAGCTTGGAGTCAAGACAGGCTGATCCAGTTTGTTCTACACTGGGCTCTTAAACTTGATGCAGAGTCTGCATCCCGTATGTCCCCTGGGCCAGATAAGGAGCACACAGGTGGAGTCCAGTGAGTTGGATTTCTAACTGTTTATTGCAATAACAGGAAAATACAGGACTGGATACCTTAGCACCCAGTAACACCAAGCTGTATTCTGCCCCAAACCGGAAGGGCAGAGGATCCTGTACCCCAAATAACATCATAATTGTTTACAACCCAGGAGAAGCGCAATTGGTTTCAGATAGGTAGCATCATTTGAGCTGGCATCATTCCATTCATGTACCCCAATACCGGCTAGAGTTACAGACATTTGCATTTTGTTTATTTGACCCAAGAACATTAACGTACATTGAGGTCTCTTTCTGGCATCTTTCAAGGACCTTTTGGATCTGTATAGAATAGGGAGTTTCCTGATAAAGTGTGATATCTAACACAGCTCTTGGCTCCCCGCAGACATCCCGGTGCCTGTTTGTGGTTTGTAATGGCCTGTGGCTAAATACAATAAAAACCTTCTCTCTCTACAAGGGAGGATGCTGTTTGGGAACATCCAGGCCTCTAAGATGTTTTTCTTATGCATAGCATTAGGCCATAAACATCCTTCAGAGCAGTTAACTACAAAGACAGTTGCAGTTGACCAAAATGGTTTCGTTTTCAGGCACATTCCATTCTCTTGCTTCCTGAGTGAGTTTTAAGGCTTTTGGTACAGGCAACACTGATTCTATAACACTCATCTATCTTCTATTACTGGGCTATTTTTCTTCCATTTCTCTATCAAACTAGGTTAATTTCAAAAGATTAACGTGTCCATTACACAGTTACCTTCATGCATATATAAATAGAGAGGAATAACAAAGGAAAATCAGATTCATTGGTCTTGTGTCCTACAAACTGACCATCAGGATCTTGTGTTACCTTACGTTGAGGGAAATTAATCTGTTTAGACCACTTCCCGTCCTGAGCCAACCAGGTTGCCTTCTGTTTGTGGCAAGTGCAGACTGCGTATGTACCACATTCTGGCAGCCATTTTAGAGACAATTGGCAAAGTAATGTGCTTCCACAAAGGTAGGTGTTCTCAGCCTTTGGTAGAGATCATGCTCACCTCTTGAGTTTTCAGTCATGGACTCTTGAGTAGGGGTCTTACCTGCAACAACTTGACTGTAATTTATTAACACTTCTGTGACTAATGAACTAACCTCTGCGTTAGTCTGCTTTAGGGTTGCCAACTTTGAGGAGGTGGCTGGTGATCTGCTGGGATTTCAACTGATCTCCAGGTGACAGAGATCAGTTCACCTAGAGAAAATGGCTGCTTTGGAAAGTGGACTCTATGGCATTATTGTGCCACTGAAGTCCCTCCCCACCCTCCTCCTGCTCCACCTCTTAAATCTCCAGGTATTTCCCAACCTGGAGCTGGCAACCCTAGTCAGCTTGGAGAAATGTTCTTTGTATTCTAGCCAATAAAAGATGACTTATTAGAAGACATCATACACATACTTTCTCTTGTGTATGATGCCACAGAATATCTTTATTTTTTAGAGCTGAACATGGATAACCTTAAGCTAGTCACTGGTTTCACAGCCTAAATTACCTCACCAGTGGTAGTGAGGATAACATAGGAAGGATGAACCCATGTAAACCTGAGGTTTTTGGATGAAGGATTGGGGGGGGTGCAATCAAATGGTGTAACTAAACATCTGTGCATGAGAGAAAAGGTTACTTTGCTTTAAAAGCTGTGTTTGTGCTTGTCAGAATCATTTCAGGCCTGTTTGAGTTATTTCCGATTTGAAAATTACTTTTGATTTGAAAATGTGAATTTGCTAATCATCAGATTATACCAAAAAAAATGAAAGGCTTTATATCCACAGGAACAGTATGATGAATTGCCGGCTGAAATTGCTGCATCTAAGCCAGAGATAAACAGTCAGGATGTTGGATTGAAACCAGAGACCAAAAATCAGGATGTTGGATTGATGGCTGAAGACTTCATAGTTGATGTAATTTTTTTTTTTTAAAGAAACTAACTTTTTAGTATTTTGCTTTGGTTACTTTGGAAGCACATACAGTTTTTATCCTGCAGACATTCGCCTGGGAGAAATAAAACTTTCTCTGCATTCCCATTCCAACAACCATTCCCTGTGACCTGTAAATGGCATGACAAAGAACAACGTGGGTTGAAGAGTTTCTTTGAGAAAGGGAATTGGTTGTGATCATCTACCTTCCCTGTTGTGTCAGTAAAATGTCTCTTAGATACATTCGTATCAGCATCATCCTAAGCACTGGCAGTGGTGGCATAACTGGTTGGTATCCTGTGCTCAACACCAAGGAACTGAGGGCATAGCAGCTGCATTGGAGTTCATAGCAACATTGCCCACTAGGGATGTGCATCCCTGAGCCAAAAATATACCCAAAATATACCTTATTGGTACTTTTCGGGTATATTTTGACATCCCAAAAGTATCTAGGATTTTTCTGGAAAACCAGAAAAAAAATCCCCCCCAAAAAATCCTGGATATTTTTTGGGAACCAGGAAGATCGGGGAAACAGCTGCGAGATGGCGAGGCTGGTTCCTCTCACCTGTTCCGCCCTGCCTTTTTCTTCTGCAGTCCATTTAAACCAAGGAACAGAGAGAATCAAGGAAATACGCTACCAGAAAAAATTATGCCATGAAAACTTACTAAATTATAAACTCATATCTTATTGTAATTAATAAATGCAAGGTATACAACAATTTTTGTGTGTATTGATTATTAATACTTCTGCAGTACTAAGACTGAAAGTTCCAATACAAATGTGTTAAGACATTCAAATACCTGGCAACCAGTCATAGTAAAGTGCTAAAACTGCTATTTCAACATTCAGTTCAAGTGTCCTGTTTTCAGAGAAAATGTAGAAATTCCATGTGAATACAGCTGATGGAGGGCTAGCTTGTGAAAACTCAGTTTCGGGTATCTTCTTTCATCAAAGCCAATATCACTTAAGAATCCATTCATTCAAAATTTGCTCCATTCGTTTCAAAAAAGACCGGTGCAAGTCTGTCAGCATAATTGCAGAATACCTGAAATGGAGTTTTCACAAGCTAGCCCTCCATCAGCCGGATTCGCATTGGATTTCTACATTTTCTCTGAAAATAGGACATTTGAACTGAATTGAAATAGCCCTTTTTTGACTGGTTGCCAGATATTTGTTTGAATGGCTTTACAAATTTGTACTGGAACTTTCAGTCTTAGTATTGCATAAGTATTAATAACCAATGCACACAAAATTGTTCTATAACTTACACTTATTAATTAGAATAAGATATGAGTTTATAATTAGTAAGTTTTCACAGCATAATTTTTTGGGGTAGTCCATTTAAATCAGGCTGGTTTAAGGGGACTGCAGAAAAGATTGGGAAGCAGCTGAGAAGCTGTTCCCCCCATCAGCTGTTCCTCCTCCTGCAGTCCATTTAAACCAGGCTAGTTTAAAAGGATTGCAGAAACAATTGGGGAAACAGCTGAAAGACAAGAGCCACTGCTCAGCTGTGTTTTGCAGATTTGTTGCTCCTTGGTTGGTTTTTCCATCTTAGGTCTATTGGACCCAAAAACTCGGGATTTCCGAAAAATCCTGGATCCGAATACTTTGCCAGCAAAGTCAGGGGACATAGGCAGTAGGACAGCAACCAGAGATCACAGTAGAACATTCACAGAATGTGTTCCTGACATCCACCCAACAGGCTCAGTGGGGGAAAAACACTTGTGAGAAAGTGGAAGGGGGGTGTTAAATCTTACCCAATGGGGAGCTGGGAATAAGAGATACTGCTTTTCCCAAGCAGTAAGGCAAATAACAGCAGAGCAGGTAGAACTAGAATCCATACCTTACATACTGTATGCTGTCCACTAACCACACACCTAACTGGGCACATAGGAACAAAAAGCATTTGAAATGGAACGAATTGTGGAACAGTTGTTCTTGATAATGATTTAAATGATCCCCTTCCAATCACTTTTTCATGCTCCGGTCTTAGCATTCTTTTTAATCCAACAGTTCTGTATTATTCATACGTTATTCCATGGCTCTCTTTACGTACCCTTCTCAAATATCTGAAGTCTTGACAGCTCTTTCTCTTACCTGTGAGTCTTCTACAATATACTTTAGTGTCTTCTACTAAGTTACTGATACTATCATTTTATCCATATTTAAAATACGCAACTGTTTATTCACCTGTTTCATGTTCCTTTGACTTCTTTCTTAACTTCTCTTACAGTACGATCTAATTTACTAAACTTAACTGGAAGAGCTTTTGTGTTTATTTGATCAGTAGAAGAAAATTTTTCTCCTACCACAGGTTCAGATTTTTTGACTTGTCTAGTGTTCAAGTAGAAAATATATGCAGGTATCTTTAATCAGCTGTTTCTTAGACCAATAACCCCATCAAGTAGCCTGTATCACCAGAGAGAAGAAAGAGGATAATTCTCTTAGATGCTTCCATAAAATAGTAATCAAATAGTGTTAGTAACTTGAAATCAAGTTTTTCTTTTTTTTTAACAACTCCAAAACAAAACCTTTAGCAGCAGAGTATTAGATACCATGCTTCAGCACATAAACAATATCTTGCTTTATGTTGTTGTTCATAGTAACCTAGTATTTCTAACATTTATTTATTTATTTATTACATCAATTTATACCCTGCCTTCCCCGCGAGCAGGCTCAGGGCGGTTTCTTTCTTTCTTTCTTTCTTTCTTTCTTTCTTTCTTTCTTTCTTTCTTTCTTTCTTTCTTTCTTTCTTCTTTCTTTCTCTTTTTCTTTCTCTTTTTCTTTCTCTTTTTCTTTTTCTTTTTCTTTCCTTCCTTCCTTCTTTCCTTCTTTCTTTCTACATTAAGAAGGTATGAAGAGTCCAGGCCCATAACAGCATGATTATTCTAGCAGCATATTCAGTCTCTCCAAATTGATCAATAAAATGTAGTGTGCCACAGAATGACATCCTCAGACAAAACTAGGGAACAAGTTACACTGCAATAATTGGTGCCAAGTTACAGCTTCATTTTATAAGTTTTAAGGAGTGATCTTACAACTATGGCATCTGCTGCTTTTGCTGGGTGGTGGTGGGGGGGCTGTAGGATAACACAGGCAGCAAATTCAGTCCTTCCAAACTGATCAGCCAGTAAAAACTATGCCAAAAACCAATGATTCAGAAACAACACAGCTTTTTTTAAAGGGATGCTGAAAAACAAACCAAAAAGCAGAGCAATACACTGTGGATGTTTACATTCAGCAGGCTAGCAATGTGATAACAGGAAGAAAAGATGGCACCTTTCATGCATTGGTGTGGCTGCTGGTGCTGCAATTCTACACTGCTCTAAAGGAACAGCCCCCTTGCAAAGGCCCAGGTGCAAAATTTAACACTCTAACCTGTTTCTCTGGAGACTGGGAGACAGTGGAGTGTCTAGCTGGCAAGTATAATTGTTTCAACACTGCTTCATTAGGATCTTAAAGCAGAAACTCTGCTTCCTTCAGCCCTCACAAAATGCCCTTTATTTAGAGTTCTCATAACCAAAGTGCCCTTGTGTGCGCGCTAAGTGTTCCTGGCAGGTGGTCAGAGAGATGTATGCACCCATTCATGTGAGATAGGGGTCACCTGTGTGAAATTAATATAGTGTTTAGAAGTCCTGTGATTGGCTGCAAACTTAGTTGGTATCCTAAGTGGTGTGACTGTGTAGGCATAGCAGGAGGGCTTTGTTTTTTCACTCCATTGAGTTTAGTGGGAGTGTTTTATACTTACACTAGCATTTTGCAGTTGTGACATTGCGCTTGGGACAGAAGGTGTCCTGAGAGGGCTTAGGATGGCAAATAAGCACAACTTCTCCCCAGGTACACCCCTGATGCTGTTTCTGGCTTCTGTGCTGGCACAACTATGCCAGCATCATGTTTACATTGGTGTAGTGTTGGGGACTTGGGATGCTATGTCAGTTTATCTCTAAGTTACACTGGCATAGGGTTTAGTAGGTCTCCTAAGTAGTTTATTAGCTGGCTTTGGAAGTGTGTCTTACGTTCGGACGATAACTTAATTATGCTTTATTTGCCTTGCCTCTGTAAAGGTTATCAACATGGATTATGGAATGAAAGAGAAGAATCCTATCAATAATGTTCGTTTCTATTGCAAGTCTGATATCACTAAGGCAGTCAAAATTACTAAAGAACAGGTAAGTGTAATGTTGGGTGGTGAAATGTCTCTGAGAAAAGGCATTCCAGTGGTGATGATGTGATTTTGATATGAGGTACTGTACTGTGAATGTAAGTGAACATTCATTTAATGTTTCTCAGTATCAAACTATTAAATTGTTGTTGCTCATGTTACTGCAGCAATTCAGAATTTTATGTTTTGCTGCTTAAGTGTAAATGAATGGAGAATCAGGAAATGCATTGAAGAGTTTGCTTTCTTAGAGTGATAACTATGCTTCTTTTAAATTCTGATCCTCTGTCTTCTTTTTGAGGTCTCAAAGTTTCTGCCAGAGACATTTGCTGAACAGTTGATTAGGGTTTACTGTAAGAGAATGGATAAAGAGAGTATTGATGTTGCTAGAAAATATTTCGTTCAATGGTGCATAGTCAAGGATTTCAGTAAACCACAGGTAAGATATTTTTAATTGACCACAGGTTTTGTATTTGTCATGTGTGTTTACCAAATATTTATTTTTCATTATTCATTTAAGCAGTTGTAGTCTGCTTTTGCAATAAAATCTGCAAACCAGCTTAAAATAAAAATGTGTCCGCCGGCAAAAGCAGCAGATGCCATGGCTACAAGATTGCTCCTTAAAACTTGTAAAATGAAGTTGTAACTGGCACCACTGAGTGCAGTGTAGTTGCTTCCCTAATTTTGTCTGAGGATGTCATTCTCTAAGAGAGCCATTACCTTTGAAAAAGCAATATGGATTAGATTAGAACCTCTGAAATTTATTTTGATGTTCTGTGCATGGCTCAACAGAGAGAGACTTGGATCTGGCTGAGACTTAACAACTCTATTGTCCCTCATATGTAAATGCTCCTGAACACTGTTGAGTGTATTGTGTTGGATAGTAAGATGGAGACAGCCACTGAGTGTAGGGGGTCCTTTGACAGTAATAACTGAACATCTCACTTGCACCAGATGTTTATATGATGGAGACAGCCACTGGGTGTAGGGGGTCCTTTGACAGTAATTGAACATCTCACTTGCACCAGATGTTTATGTAATCGTACACTGACAGTTCTTAGATGTTACATATCAAGAGACTTGTAAGTATCCCTACATACACCAAAGGATAGATAGAACTCTTAAAAATCCCAGAAATTGTTTTGGTAAAGGGGATGTCCAGCCCTTATCACTGAATTATAGGACAAATATAACACTGCCACCACCACCTAGAAGTTTGGTTATCTTTCTCATTTACAAACTTGTGAGCAAATCATAAATTAATAGCATAAAATTGGTTGACTGTGGCATCTTCCAGACTGCAGCCCTGATCTGTATTTTCCCCGCCTCTGTTGATAGCACCATTGGGGCCATCATTTCACACTTCCTGTTTTTATGTGGAACTTCCGTGTGTGTGTGTGTGTGTGTGTGTGGTATTTTAGTTTCAGAGACTGTTCAGTATTGTGCATTTGTTTGGTTTTTGTTCTTGTGCTGGACGGATGGGGCAATTTAATGCTCCTGTTTGCTTATGCAGTTGTTAACCCCCCAAAGCCCATCAGTGAATCATACCTTGCCTACATGTCAGTCTGCTTGATTGGTTAGCTGATTTCCCTCATGAGCTGTCTCCCTCCTTGGGCTGTCTCCACGCCCTTTCCCCTTTTTAAAAAAATTATAGACAGTAGGTAAAGAACCCAGCATTAGCTGTGCTTATATGGATGATTGCAGGGCTAAGGGAATATTTGGAAGGTTATTGTTGAGACTTTTCAAAGCACCTTTACTGGTAAAGAATTTTGCTGTGTTTATACTCAATTCATTATTACTGTGCACCTATTCACAAAACGTGTGTGTGTTTGTGTACAAGAGGTGGAAATCGTACATCTCTTTTGGCCAGCAGTGGCTAGAGCCACAGTCTCAGCTCACCCACCCTGAAGGGGCTCCTTGGGCTGTCTCCACGCCCTTTCCCAGCCAGAAGGCTTCTCCACTCTTGAAGTGCTAGGGCTTTTCATCTCCCCCCCATTGCTCTAGCTGTTGAATAATTAAAGCCTTAGCAGCAAATTAAGATGAAAAGAGTTTCTTGAGTGAGTATATGCAGAGATGCTTTTTAATGGCTCCTAGACAGTTGTGCTGAGTAAAAGTAATTTGTTTGTTGAGGAGTCTTAATTCACCAGATGAAAAAAGAAAAGAATATCAGCCTAAAAAAGTAGTACTCCAAGTACACCCCCTCCCTCCCAGTTCAAGATGTGTATGTCTCCCCCCTCCCAGCTAATGGAGCCACTTACAAATGTTGCTAATTTCAGTTTGGAATTTATGAGAGAGAGGTGTGCATGTGTTACACACCGAGATTGGCATTTTCTTTACTATATTGAAAGGAATAGAGAACTTGTGAGCCAGTTTGGTGTAGTGGTTAAGTGCGCAGACTCTAATATGGGAGAACCAGGTTTGATTCCCCACTCCTCCACTTGCATCTGGCTGGATGACCTTGGGCAAGCTGTAGCTCTGATAAGAGCTGTTCTTGAAAAAAAGCAGTTTCTGTCAAGAGCTCTCTCAGCCCCATCTACCTCACAGGGTGTCTGTTGTGGGGAGGGGAAGGGAAAGGAGTTTGTAAGCCGCTCTGAGACACCTTTGGGTAGTGAAGGACGGGGTATAAATCCAATCTCTTCTTCTTCTTGTGGGCAGTTTGGCAGATATAAAATGAATGAATGAATGAATGAATGAAAGAGAAAGAAAGAAAGAAAGAA